GTTCTTCCATATTCTTCAAATATGCTTGCTTCATAAGATAATTATGTCCTTTATGTTTTTTTCCCTCTTCACTTGGTTGATATTGTGACATTGATAAGCAATTAAATTTTGGTCTGTTGTAGAAGTGTTTAATTACAGTGTTAAAACAATTTATACTCCAGGGAACTCAGCAGGGAAACTCAACTTTAGGGAAAATATTGAAGGTGGGATTTTGTATGCAATGACTGCTTGGAATATGGTTGGCAAGTAATTACTTTAATAGCACGTTAGCATCTTGCAATCAGACAAGAAAATATGTATGTGTTTTTTGTGAGTTTCTGGATGAGCTAATCTCACCTTCTATATAGGTTATACAATAACACAACTCTTTATTGCCCTTCTTGTTCAACTTCCTTGACAATCACTGTGTTTTTCTCCCTGATCTTGAGAAATCTTAATTTTCCTTATATTTATGTCCTGTTATTAATAAAGCAAATGAGAACTGCTTGCTTCAGAATTATTAACCACACTGCAATCTTCAGATCTGGATTCCTTGGTTTATTAGAATTCAATGATGTTAGGTGTTTCCATTGTATTTCTGTTTTATACATATCAGTTCTCATTAAGTGGTGTATGAATTAGATGTTTATTTACCAAATCTGATGACTCAGACACTTGAATGTGATGCCCAGAAGATTAGCCATAGACATGGATGCATGGGTCAGTAGAGAACATTCAGATAACAATTTCAAGCTAAGTGTAAAATGGAGAGAAGCAAGTGGACCTGTAAGAAATGCATGTTCTGATTTTGTTCATGGTTTCAGTCTTCTAAATTAGTAACCATTCTGTTAGATTAGTTTGAGTTCTCTATCTGATTCTTAGGCCTCATCTATACTGCTATATATACTGCATTAAACCGCATTGTATTAGTCTACACTACAATATAATGCAATTCAATGCAATCAAAACTACAGGCAGTGTAGATTGGGCCTTAGCTCTAAGATAATGATTTTTTTTACATGCATAGGCTACAGTAAATATTTAGGATAGCCTTCTGGTTGCTGTTGTGCTACATCTAATTCGTAACTTTTGGGTTATGCTAACAAGATCTAATGAAAGTTACTGCCCAGTAGGATCTGAATGACTGTTTTTTGCCTACCCTTCATCTAAAAAAGTACAGCATCTCCCTATAAACTTCTTCAGGAAGGCAACTATGTTGTGTTAGAGCCTATACTTAAGATCCTTTTTTCAGTCCTAAATAACTTGGATTGAAAGGTTGTAGTATGAAAAATTGTAGCATGAAGAAGTGCTGCCAGAATGTCGGGAGTCTGAACTTGACAGATTGACTTAGAGTCATAAATGACATTATCAACAAAAAAGCCAAAATAAAACTATGATTTTTTTTTAAAAAAAATACTTCTACAATAACTTAGCAGTTTCTATTAAAAAGAAACACCAGAAAGTCTCTTGACATTTTCCTTTAGTAGAAATGTATTTATAACTTGAAATATCAGTCTTCCAAAGTGGTCCAATGAAAGAGTGTATAGTTATTGATCTATACCCAAACCAGTCTTGGGAAATCTTCATAAAAATATATATCTTTATTTCTTGGTGTGAAATCATGAAATGTCTTCCTATAGTACAGTTAAAATGTGGAATTCACTTGACACAGCATGGCATTATGCCTAGCAAGTGATTAGATGAAAATAGCTATAGCAGCATGTTACTACATGGCAAAAGATGTGACACTTGAAGTCTCTTTTACATGTTTGATTTTATTCTGTGAATTCATAGAGGATAAGATAGAAATATCAGCAGTTGTATAGTAGGATGGTGTTTTCTCACACACACTACACATGTATCAGAAGCAGTACACCTCTGTATACAAGGAGAATGAGACACAGATCTTATGGGTGAATGGATGTCCTGTTTATGGGATTTCCTATGTACCTGAATTTCTACTCAAGTCTAATCCAAAAGAGCTGTTCTAAGTAATTAATCAGACAGTAGAGGGAAACGTTTTATCCCATTCCTTCCCATCTTTCCCCATCTTCTGGAATGGCCATCCTTCCCATGTCCTTCACTGTCTTCCCCCATCTTTCTTCTGCTTTTTTCCATCATTCTCTATCATCGTTCTTTACCCGACTCCTGATGGAGGTCTTTTGGCTCAGTTTCCACGTGCTTGGGAAATGGAGCACCACTGAGTCCCACAAGTCATGCTCTTACGTTGTCTGTTGGCCTCTATGGACTCTCTTCCCAAGTGCATGGAAACGGAGCCTGAAGACCATCCTTACACTGTTAATAGAGGAAGTGTATGTGTGTTAAGGAGCTAGTTTTAGTAAGCTGTAGGCACATGCTTCTACTTGAGCTTACATAAAGCACCTTAAAATAGAGCAGATGGTGAACACTGCAAAAAATATGCTGAATTTTATTGCTGTCAAATAAAAATGTAGAGCCTGTTCAGTCTCGTTGTGCTGCATTGTTATCACTGCACATAGATAGAGAACATACCTTATAAGTTGTCAAATAACATCTCTGCTCGACAACTTTCCTGGTATCAGACATAGAAGTAATTTGCTTTAAGAATCTCCTGAATTTCACAGAGCGAGAACACCTTGATGACTTATGGGAAGAGGAAGGAAATTATATTATCATTACCTTGTCAGATGATTAAATTTCAGTTCCTAAAGGAAAAAAAAGGATTGGGGTACCTTTAAGTGGTTATTGGATACATTCATCTATGAGTTTTGCTTAAGTACATTAAGCAGATTTAACTAATAAAGCCAAGGTCCTAGCGAGTAATGTTCCCCAAAGTTGGCTGTAGAAGTAATTGCTTATGGTAGGCAAAGCTTTGTCTGTCTGTAGCAACTGAATCGAATGTCTCCTGGCAGTATCCAAAGGCAAATAAACATCTATTTCTTGCATAGATTCCATGGCATTCAGAGTATGATGCAAGCTTGGAGGATGATTAGCCTTTGTTAACTTCTTATGCTTCTATTCTGCCTGATTAGGCTGACTGAGAATATATTAACTCATTGCACAGCCACATTTTTATTGTTCATTTCTCAAGTTTATCCTATTAATTCAATATGTTATTTATGGAATTTATTGCCTGTTTTAATGATTATTGAGTTATTTTTGAACCTTTAATTGCTTGTTTTAATTGTTTTTTACTGCTGTTTATCTCTATTTTGTTTTTGTCTTTGTAAGTCGCCCTGAGTTCCTTCAGGGGGAGAAGGCGGGTGATAAATAAAGTTATTATTGTTATTATTTGCATAGTATGTATGGCGTAAACTACTTACAGTGTGTCTTTTGTGGTTTGGAAACCATGAACTATTCTTTTATAGCAGTGCATGATAAACTGATTGCAATGTGAAGCATAGAGTCACTCATAAGCCCATGTGGGCTCTCCCAAGTCTGCCTTTTCAGTCTGCTAGGCCCAGACTGCATGCTCCCTTTGGAAGTTTCCTCATCAAACATAATTTATCTGCTTCTGCAGGGAGTGATCATTTTGTGTTATAACAGCACAGGAGCTCCCACATACTCACTGCAAAACCTCTGGAACTAGAAAAGGAGAGGGAAATGAAACTAGAATTTATTTCTACCATTCTGGGGCCTTTTTCACACAGCGGTATAAAATCCACATTGAACTGAATTAAATGGCAGTGTGGACTCAGATAACCCAGTTCAAAGCTGATATTGTTATCTGCCTTGATATTCTGGGTCATATGGCTATGTGGAAGGGCCCTGGTTTTGATTTTCTTCGGTATGCATTTATTGACCTGGTGTTAGATGCTGAATAAAAGCTTCTAAAGTTGTCTGTCAAAATTTAAGAAAGTTGTTAGTAAAGGAAGGTTTCTGTTTATAATGCCAAACTTAGGGAGTAGCGCAAACATATTTTGCATAGCAAGTGGCACATTTCCGTGGGAAGCATATTGTCCAAATCTTACATGGCTACATTAGTTGTTTTTTTAAAGTACAATTTCCATTGCTGCCCACTGGTTTATGTATGGAAAGTTCTAAGTGAAACTGAAAAAAAAACAACCTTAAAATCAGAGAGCTACTACTAACTTTTGAAAGTGTTGGTATGATCCTGAGTCAGATGGTCTTGGTAAAGCAGTTTCGAATGTTCCAATGATACAAATGAGGACATTATGTTATTAGGCTTGGAACTTCCTTGAGAATGAATTGAGTCAAAAGCCTATTACCATGGAGGGAATAAAAGGAGTAATAAAGGGTTTCAGGGACATATTTATGTTGATTCATGATCTTGTAGCTTTTTATTGTGTCCATATAGTATGGAATATTTTTATGTTCTTTAATATGAAAAAAACCCTAGTTTTTATTAGTAAATTACCAAAGGTTTGTGTATAAAAATGCACAAAGAACAATTGAGGCTATAATTTTGTTGAGCCTTTTATCACCTTACTTTTTCAGCCTGAAAAATGATAAACATTACTATGTAGAAGAACAGAAATCTACACACAACATCTGTCACAGAGAGATACTTGGGGCATTTTGTAATTGCTGTTTTCTTTCTTTTTTTCCAAATCAAAATAAAAGTGGCAGGAGAATGTCAAACTTTTAACGTGCTGCTTATTCAGTGATGAAGTTGTCTGCTCCCCCTCTACGAGACCTTTTATGAGCATAAGATTTTACTGCAGAATGGCTAGGGGGCAATCAGTTTAGATATGAGTGCAAATCTTTGTATTAATGTTTGGCATATGACACTACAGTCTCAATTGTGAAGATTTAAAGCTGTAACTAAGAAAAGTGACCTAAGAAACAATTTATTTGTAGATTAAGAAAGGCAAGCCATATGTTCCAAGTATACATTTAAGATCCAGAAATCTTTGCTACCTACCCCCAAGGCAATTGCAAGAACTTAATGTGCCAGAAATTCTTCTTCGTCTTCTTCTTGCCTTGCAGGGATTTTATAAAAGACACCGATTTAAATGGAGTAACATCATGAGAAAGAAGTAATTAAGACAGAAGTATTTATTCATTTCTCTTCTCCTTAGGCGGTTGTTCGTTTGATGAACACTACAGTAACTGCGGTTATAGTGTGGCACTGGGGACCAATGGATTTACTTGGGAACAGATTAATACCTGGGAGAAACCGACAATGGATCCAGCTGTTCCAACTGGTGAGTAAAAGGCATAACGATAAGGAAAGTCTTTAGACAAAACAATTAATCTCTAAGTGAGAATATTCTATATTGAGTGTCTATTGTCTTCTATGGACATGAATGACACAGTTTAACTTGCCTATGGAAATGTGTAGTTATTATATCTGAAGCAACTTGTGTTTTATGCTATCCTTATTGTGTCCACCCTTAGATGTTAATGGTATTTGGATGTTAGTGTTGTTGATATTAGATATGAGCTCCAAATTCTATACTTTCAAATAGAGAAGATATTGTCTTGTAAGGCAGAAATTCAAACAACTTCCCTTCATTTTTAATGCTGATTATATGCTACCAGTTAGCTAGAATTTAAATAGTGTGAATTTCCCATACTCTATCAACTTCACTGGCACTCAAGACATTTATAGGCAATTCAAAGTACTGGTTATAAAATCCTGAATAGTTCAGAAGAAAGATATCAAAGTGAGCCCTTCTCTTCTGCTGGAATGTCTCCTTTCTAGTTTGTGACATAGTAGATGGTGACATGAAAGGGCATTTTGAATGCCTATACTTATGCTTTGAAACTTTAGAGATACATTTAGTTCCCTTCCATTTGAAATAATAATAATAATAATAATAATAATAATAATAATAATAACAACAACAACAACAACATCAACAACAATAATAATGCACAGTTTTGCAGAATTAATGCAGTTTGACACCACTTTAACTGCTATAGTTCAAAGCCATGGAATCCTGGAAGTTGCAGATTTAGAAGGTCTTTTTCTTCACTGTCAAAAGGGGCAGGAACTACAACCCCCAGGATTCCATAGCATTGAACCATGGCAGTTAAAATGGTGCCAAGCATAATTAATTCTACAGTGTTGAGACTGGGGACACCAATGTGAATGTAGACATGGCTTCTTTGGCATCATGCATCACAGTGTCATTCAGTTGTTTACTGTTGGCATCCTACTTCCAAAGCATTTTCATGCTGCCAGTTGTGAAAAGTTTATCAGATTGCTTTGTGAGATATACTAGAAGTGAAATTTACACTAGCTATTTCCCGACTGTCGTTTCATAGATGATATCTCATGGTTAGACATTTATATTTTAGCTAGAATATTGCATTCTTGTCTTATGAATCAGTGGAAAGTACCATGTACATTGATGATTGTGTGTCTATGCATAAAACCTTTCCTAGAGCCCTGACAATGACTTGCATCAACACTGCAGTGTTTGCAGAGTTCTGTAGCTCTTGACTTCTGTTTTGCAACTCTCTGTAGCTCTTTCCAGGAGAACAGAAGTAACAGCAAAGCCATTTGACATCTTTTCCTGGAATTTGTTTATTTTGTTATTTTATAAAAATATTCCTTCTATGCTGGAATATTTTTATGATTGAGGGCCCTTCTACACAGGCCCTAAAATGCAGAAGAAACCAGAATAAAAGGGGGGCAGGGTGGCTTAATGACATTTGCCAAAAAAAACTTGCTGGATTGCATTAACAGCTGAAAACATGTGTTATAAATGTGCACTTAAAACTGCACATATTCTCATCACTGTATTTCCTTGCATTCAAGGAAAACATGTGCGTTCATTCCTATATGCTGGTGTGGACTGATCTAGTGCATGCTCACATCTTAAAATCCCAAAACAGCTTATGAGGGTTGAAAACAAATGGAGTGACAGACACACAGGTGGTTAAATGGAAATTGGAAGCACAAATGGAAAGCAGTTCCCATGAGAACTCTCTGCAGCCATTCCTTTGTTCTTATGTTTATGAAATTAAACAGACCTTGAATTTACACAGTGGGCACCAGCATGGCAGGCAAGTGACCCCAAAAGGGTTTAAGAGGAAAAAAATAAAGGCAACAGGAGGGTGAGGAGAAATAATAGCAAGAAATCTGGTTGTGTATACGTTTAAATATCTGCATCAGTGCTTATGAAGTCTAGAGTCAATTAAAAAAAAACTTCTGGCAGATGCCCCCTGTCCATCTTGCGGATTTCTAAAATCCTCTACAAATAATTGTGTCTGGATGCCGGGGAAGCATTAACTGGGACTAACAATTCCATGTCTGGATTCTCCTTAAGGTCCAACAATGTTTTGCTGAATTTATTTGTCTCATATTTTGATGCTGTGTAGAAGAGCCCTGAGGGGGCTGTAAATCCAGCGTTTCTACTTTTCTGCTCATTGCCACATTTCCAACAATCTTCCTCTCTCCTTCCTGCTGCCTTCCATTTCTATTCCAGGAATCATCTAACAAGTCTAATGAGGTTAAGTATGCCCCGCTTCAAGGTAGTTAATAACTGTATCCATCTATCTGTTTCCATTTTTTACAAAACCTATACCCTTTTGAGCCCTTTTTTAAAAACCAGATAAATTTTCTGGCTTCTAACATGGAAAAAATTTGCATGTATTCAGCCAGCCATAGATTTATGTTTTCATTTCTTTAAAATGGTCTTAGCAGTATTGCAAAGGGGGAGCAGTGAGCCTCAGTCAAATGCAAATATTGTTACTGTGATTCTGTTTATGCAGTAAGTTGTTAAATGTTTCTTTGGAATAAACAAAATCAAAACAAATTGAAGAGACATAACACTTAGTGATTTAAAAAGCCTTTAGAGTTTGATAATAGTGCTTATTAGAAATCTTCTATAATTAAAATGTCCCTTGCCTTCTCATTTAAACATACTTGAATTCATCAGATTATCTGGACTCGATAAAGTATGATCTGGGTAATCTATATTTAAAGAACAGGATACTTTTAAAACATTATTATACAAAATTTTTAAAAGAATGAAAACATTATGATGAAAAGAAGAAGATTAAAGCAAAATGAAAATAGTTCATAACAGTAAATATAAAACACAACTATATCACAAAACCTTTATCTTACACAGATTTTCAATTAAAGGCCTGCCTTAATAAGAAGGCCTTAAACCTTCTGGTGAAAGGCAGGAAAAGGGGACCAAATTAACCTCCTATGAGAGGGAGTTCTACAATTAGGAGCAGCTACTAAAAAGGTTCTCTCTTGGGTTGGGTCCTTATTAAATGTGAGGTAATACAAATAATGGTAACAGAAATAATTGAGCATAATTACGACTTGTAAAAGTTAGCTTTTGGACTACAATTTCCAAAATTCCTCTAACCATTGACTATGCTGGCTGAAGGGAATCTATGAGTTCACAAAACAATTCTTCCAAGCTCTGGCCCACAAATTCTCTGGAAAGGTATTTAGGGTGTTGTTATTCTGAATGGTATTCAGCAGTATAGAAGAACTATTATTCTGTCTTAAAAGTCTTAAAAGTGAAGTGGAAAGTTTCTCTTTCACTTTGGCATGCTTCCTTATTCTTATTGTAAATTTCTTTAAATGATTAACTTTCTGTGCATGTTTATAGAAAATATATGAGTGCCAAGAAGGTTCACTCTCATTTCCTCTCATTGTTAATTTAAAAATGAATCTGTCTGCATGTCACCCAAGATTACATATGCCTGGTCTAAAGTGATTCAAGTGCTCATTAAACATTCTTCTGACCTTGTGAGCATCACTTATCTTTGAATAACTTTTGCAGCATCTTAGATGACTCACCCACTTGGAGGACAACTGCCTAGGTCTGTCCCTTGGAATCAATCTTTACAGATAAGAGGCTCCTACACTCTTAAGAAAAATCCTAAAGAGAGTTTAAAGTCTCTGTCATGAATGTGATGCTGAGAAGTAGTTCATTTTTTAACCTTTGAAAGAATAATGCAGTGTTTTGATTATAAACACCAGGTAAATAGCTATTGATATATCTTGTTTAAAGGTTGACATTAAAAAAAAAGAGTTCATTTTTACTCTTAAATCTCTTTTATATGTAGTTTTTTTTGCATTGGAATCAATGGACATAACCTGAATTTATACTGGGCTGCAATAATTTGCTATGGTGTAATTGGGTATCACTTTGATCGCTACCCCTTATGTATTGTGAAGTGCAATTTTCCATTGTTTGGAAAACAAATGGCCTACTGAACATACTGCAGGGGTTTGGGAAAACTGGCCTAGATTTTGGGGGTTGTTGTTAACTGAATCCCGAGAGCATTCAACCCAGCTGGTGACAGATCTGGACCACACTTGGCACACAGATCCAACATGGCCAACTGTAAATACTGGCAGGATTTGGGAGTGACTGCCCGTGACATATAGGAGTTGTAGTTCACCCTTATCCAGAGAGCACTGAACCCAGCCGATGACAGATTTGGACCAAACATTTTTTCCCTAATAAATACTGTTACTAATTAACTAAATAATATTACCCAACACCCTAAAACAAACAATGCCTTTGTCAAATAACCCAGGCACTGCCGAGTATCTAAGCTAGTAACAAATGTATAAATGCACATTCACATGGAACATTAAAAAAAGAAAGATCAACTTTAAAATGGTGGAAGCACAAAGTTGTGGCAAGGAAGCACATCTGAGACAACAAAATGTGTGTTGGCCAATGTAACAGTAAGGCAAAACAGCACATTCACATGGAATAATAAAAAAGAAAGATCAGCTTTAAAATGGTAGAAGCAGAAAGTTGTAGCACAATGGTAGAAGCATAAAGTTGTGGCAGGGAGACACAAAGCACAAAGTGAAGAGGCAAAGCATCAATTTTTCATACTGTACTCCTTCCAGCCTCCCTCCCTCTCTTGCTCTTTCTTTCTCTTCATGAAGCCAAACATACCAGGAATGAAAACCACACAAAATCATCTAACCCAAAGTTCCTCAAAGCAGATAAGAGCAAAGCAAACAGCAATCTGCCAATGTGAACAAGAGCACAAGGCGTGAAGCCTTAAAGCCATGTACTCTTGTGCTAGTGCTCCTTCTGGTTTTAGCTCTTAACTCAAAACACTACTCTTATGTACAAGCGAAACACAGGCCAAGTGACAGCTATTAACTCAAAACACTCTTAAGTTGGGACACTCATAAGTAGAGGTTCCACTGTATGGTAAAGCTGTATTGGTAATTTGGTGAACATAATCTTCCTTGGCTCTT